AAGAAAAGAAGATGGTCTATGATAGAACCTGATGTACATTAGTATTTCGTCTGCAGTATAAAGGGAGTTGGGGAGGAAATAGAAAATGAGAAGGAAATGCAGAGTAATGTATTCTCATGGAAGGAAGATTACATTTTGTATTAGATATCCCCTGGAATGTATGACTTTGTAATTGAGTGTTTGGTTGAGTTCTTGAGTTTCTTATGTGCTTATAAGAAGAGGTCAAATTGAATCAGGTAACCTGGCTATTATGAGTTCACAACAGTTACTCTTCTTGTGTTTCAGACTTACAAAGTTTATCTGCCTTCCTAGCTCTTAACACATTACTTGCTCAAGCTCCCCTGAAAAAGTGTTCTTTCAACTTCCTTTTTCTCATGTATGGAAACCAGTATTTGTTTCTGTAAGTGTCCATTTCATCTTTCTCTTTATTCCCCTGTGCCTTAGAGAAACAGATGTCTTCTCTCTTTTGCCAAGGTTTACTTCAATGTCTACCACCTGTTCTTTTTGAGAGAGCTCTTGTTTGTGATTTCAAGATGTTCTAATGAGCAGTTAACCTTGATTCAGAAAACACCGAGCCCCGTTATTCTTAAAAATCAGTTAGGAAACTACATTTTAAAACATTTTCGGGGGAGTGGTGCTAGTGAATGGAGGGGGAAATGCAACTGGCTTCTGATGATAAAACGTTGAGCACATTTGGTCCATCTCACCTGTTTACTTCATTTCAAAGAGAAACTTATGGAAAGATTATTTGCCACACCTCACTTGTGCTAAATCCCTTATAGTTGCATGCCTGTTGACAAAATTCCTCTGCAAAGAATTTGACTTGTTAAAAAATGATTTCCTTACACTCTCTTCTCTCAGTCTTCAGTGAACCTTTCTTATTTGCTTCATTGACATTCCGTTAAATAGTTTCCCTTTTTTGACTCTCTTATAAAAACTTACCTTCTAATACCACTGTTTTCTAACTACATACTGATTTTTCAGCTACAGGCTTGCATTTTTATCTGTCTCCTGAACATGCAAACTAAACTTATTTTGAAATCTATACCTAAAAGTGAACTCATATTTGATTGCACCTTTGTTAAAAACAGAGCTATAAAGTATATTCTTAGATAAAATTGCATGTGTACTAAATATGCTATCAAAGATTATTATAAATTGTTTTGAACTTTTATATTTGTGTCTATTAAATGAAGATATTTAACTTTTAAAATACTGCCACTGGGTGTTAAAACAGAAATAATAGCCAAGTAGTGAGCATACTATTGTTTTTTGGTTCTTCAACATTTACTATTTCATAAAAAGTGCCCCTGACTGCCCTATTAACAGTTGACACTGAGCACAGCTCTGGGGGTGATGGTCATCATCTCTATATGTCTCTTTTCTAATGGCACCATACTTCCTGATTTGGAACTTCATTTCTTTCTTTTCTTCTACTTCCATTATCCTCTAGAAAGAATTTTTCTAGCAGACAGCAAGTCATTTTTAGGAAAGCTTAACTTAGAGTCAATGATTAGGCATCTTTTTCATATGGTTGACAATAGATTAGTAAACTTTCATTGAACACGAATTTTGTGTCTCTGTGCTTGTCTTTCAGAACTGGATTAGAAGTGAGGCTTATGGTTTCCTTCTCAAGAATAGATACTGGCTTCAGGGAGCCATGGGATCCATAGCTTCAACCAGATATATGTCCCTATATGTGCAAAGGTTTTGTCATCTTCAAGTAAAAGCAGCATGGTTTTTCTGCTCTAACACAATAATATCTCCTACCTTCAGTGTTGGTTCTCAGTCTCCTAAACCATAGAATGTTATCTTCTGGACATCTTTCATGCCTTTGTCAATATGAACTTCTAAAGTCTTGTTTTTCTAGACTAACGTTCTTACATTGCAGCTTTTAGATCTGTCTTTAGGACTGATCTGTTCTCCATGATCCTACGACTCCCTGAACATATATCAAATTTACTGAAGCATTTCAGGTCCTATTTGATGAGTTTTATTTACATGTCAGTACCTCTGTATTTGTAACAACATTCTACTGCTTCTTTCTTATCACTTTCACCTTCACTTTTGTTACAAATGAAATTCTTTTGCTGAGACAGTTTTCTTTTGCACTATTATATAAGTCATCTATGGTTGCTGAGGATCTACACACACCATTTTTACCCTTTATCCCAATTTTCTCTCAGATTCTTTCCTTCTCCAAAGAACATATCAAAGATGTCTATTACCCACTTGAAGTTCCTGTTCCCCTACGATGTCACATAATCTCCCCATCCCTTTGCTTTAGAATCAGATAGCAATCTCTCAGTTTAAGAAATCTGTTTAGATTTTATTCCCTCATTCGAATTGTATAAAAATCACTAAAAATTTTACAAGGTGAAGTTTTGTCAATTCCTTTATTTGAGACTCAGATTAAGATTTTTACCTTTAAAATGTGCACTCCAACTTTGATAACTGATTCATAAAATATTTCAGTTTTATATGACTCCTAGGTGGGTTTTAAAGTAAGTTTTGCAAAATATTAAAATTACATAAAATGTAGTCCAAGATGGCCATCAAGTTTAGAAAACACATATTGGCATTTGAATACTTTTGTATTGAAATTAGCTTATTGACAAAAGTATTTGATATATAATTAGGTATAGATAAAATATTTGTACATTTAAAAGTGTGTGTGATAGAGAGGTGGCTCAGCAGTTAAGAAAACCTACTGTTTTTACAGAAGACCCCAGTTTGGTTCTACACATACACAATGGGTGGTAGGCAACTACCTGTAATTCCAGCTCCTGGGAATGTGAAAACTCTTCTTGCCTCGATGTGCACCACCTTCACTCACATGCTGTATGTACATACACAAGAATAACTTAAAAACCTTTAAAATTTGCAGTATCTCTTTTAGTGGGTAGGCCTCCACTTCTGTTAATTGAATATGCACTACAGATCAAAGTAAGTTTCTGCTCAGCAGGCTTCTTCTTAAGTTTATTAAACTAATGTATTTACAGTGACACTGAGATTTTGCCATTTTCTGTTTGTATTGCTAGTTTGAAAAAACATGCTTAGATATCGATTTTAATGTTAAAATTTAATTAAATGGATATATGCTTTGTTATCAACATCCAAAGTGGTTTTTAAATCTCATGAATTAGATCATTTAAATCAAATAATTATTGGATATTCTCTTTGAAGCGTCAGATGACCCAGTTATTACAAGCATCTTTTAATTCTCTGATTAGTTCTTCTACTAATGGAACAAACACATTAAGAGCTGTGGCTTTATTTTTCCCCAAAGTACTAGAAAATTTGGAACAAGAAGAGGTAAATTAATTATGACCAGGCATTTTGTCTAAATGAATGACATGCTTCACAGAATCACGTATAGGCATACTTTCTGAAACTAAACATTTTCATTGAGGAGATTCTTCATAAAATAAATGTTCAGTTTCAAGGAGATACTCATGCTTTCTAGAACTAATTACATTAATTTCCATTTACTTTTTATATTTTTTGAGATTGTAATATAATTACATCATTTCTTCCTTCTGTTTCTTTCTTCCAAACCCCTCCATGTACTACTGTACCTCTCTCTTTTTTTTTGCTTTCTTTTATTTCATGGTCTCTTTTTCTTTATTGTTAATACATATATCTAAATATATAAATACAACATGCTCATTCTGCATAATGTTATGTGTGTGTGTGTGTGTGTGTGTGTGTGTGTGTGTGTATGTGCATGTGTTCAGAGCTGACCATTTGTTATTTGGATAACCAGTTGGTGTGCTCTTTCCTGCGGAAAAATGATTTCTCCCACTCTGAGCATTCCTTAAATGCCTGTTGTTCCATTTGTAGGGTTGAGGCTCTGTGGTCTTTTCTCCATCCACTATGGCATGTTTACTTTTTCTGCCCTTGTTCAGCTCATGTTTAGGCAGTCAGGTTGGTGACGCTTAATAGGTGCCACTGCTGCTGTTCCTAGGAGACACAATTTAACAGCCCACTCCCTGATCCTCTGGTTCTTACAAAGTTTCTGCTTCCTCTTCTGAGTTTTAGGTGTAGGAGTTATTTTGTAGATGTATCCATTAGAACTGAGCCAAAGGTTCCATTGGTTGAATTTTTTTTTTTTTTTCTCCCAATGATCTCCATCTATTGCAAGAGAAGTTTTCTTGACAAGGGATGGAAACTATGTCCTTGTGTATGAGGACACATATTTCTGAAGGCATGGGTGTAATGATTTCACTAGACACAAGATAAATGATAAATGGGAGTTTCGTTGGGGAACAACTTACATAGAACAATAAAGAACCACCACAGCAGTTCTCTGCCCTTCCAATCTGATCTGCAACCTGGAGGTGGAGAGAGAGAGAGAGAGAGAGAGAGAGAGAGAGAGAGAGAGAGAGAGAGAGAGAGAGAGAGAGAGAGAGAGAGAGAGAGAGGACGCACCTTCCCCCCCCTGAAGCCATGCCCAAAGGTGTGTGGCCACTGCTACAGGTTCACAGGCAAGATGCCACTACATATTTCTAATGTAGTTAGATATTATGCTGAGTAAGTAAATTGGTGGCTGTAGGTTTTCCTCTGAGAACCATGAATTCTCTATCCCTGGGTATTTGGCCAGCTTTAGATGAATGACTCTTACATCCTGTTAGAGAGCTATTGGTTCCTGCCAAGGTATTCATGTCACTACTGTACCCTTAGGATTATCATGCTATGTTGGTCATTATTGTGATTCAAAGTCATTCTTTTTGGTGTAACCATTGTTTTCTTCCCTATTTTGGAAACTTGTATGGTCCCCTCTGGTACCATGAGAGCTAGTACTTAAGGAGGAGGCTTTCAGGTCAGATCCAGCTCTTGGGTTTCTGGTTCCTGTATCCAAAGTATATGGTGTCTTCAGCAATAGGGACTCCTTCCATCTCTGGGAAGTAACCACGGGTAAATCAATAGACGATGCTGTTTTAGAAGTCTCCCACTTGCACCATTGATGACAATGTTGGTTTGTGATTTTCGTTTTTTAGATGCTGGACCAAGCCAAATAAGCTCAGAAGTACGAGCTTCATAAGGATAAATTGTGAACTTTGAGAGGAGGAAAACAGTGGAATAAAGATAAGAGAGACAAAGATGCAACTGATACAGTCATTAAGGGGATGGCCATTTCTACTCTGCTGTGGTGCTAAAACCCACATAATTCTCAAATGCTGTCCCAAACTGACTTCTGATGACACTACTCTGCCACTAATGGAGAGTGGAAAACCTGCCTATCCTCATTTCCATGTATATGATAGGTAATGTTTAAATTTTTTGATTCCTGCTACTGATATAGGTATTAACAGAATAAGGAGAATGTAGCACATTTTCTCTACATTCTGATAATTCCTTATCCCATAATTCCCAGAATACCTGTTGGAACTGTGACCTTTTTGCCCATTTCTTTTGGCATCTACTGAGATGGATACCTAAGAGCTGCCCTCTTTCAGCCTGCTTTTGTGTGAATAGAATCATTGCTAAAGACATTCTTGTGCACGATTTCATAAGTATATGCTGGTATCTTACATAGACAAGTGGAATAACATTGATGAAAGGAATAAGAGATTTGCATTTACAAAACAGCTATGTCACCTGAGAAAATTCATTTCCCTTTTCAGGAACTTGGGATTATCATTTACTAAGGAATTATGTGACCATGTGACCCTGTGACCCCTTACCCAAACTCTTGAGGTTACTCACAAGTAAGAATTCATAATTTCCTAGAATGCTAGAAATGGTATATTTATATGATATAACAACTTCAACAAGGAATGAGATAGATGACTTATATTAGTCAAACACATTAATATTTCACTAGCAAAATATATGAATATAAACACCAAGTAGGATAAAGGCTATAAAATCCTACTTTTGGATCACGTTGGAGTTTTCCTCTCAGAAGAAAGAGCATTTGTTTTGAGACATTAATGACAAGATATCAACTGCCATGTGAAGATCAGCAAAAGAATCAGTCTGGTGGACAGTAAAACTAGGTCATATTTGTGAGATGAGAATGCACTTGACATATGTGGAAGAAAAAAATCAGACAGTATAGCTATAGGGAAGTTGCAAGATGGATAGTCACATGAGGAAATTACCTTTAGATCACAGGTCTTGCCCATGCTAAGCACAAAAAATAGTTTTGAAGTCTTCAGGCAGGAGAGTAACAATTTGGACTAACTCTTGTTAAAGTATTTACTGTCTGGTGTGTGAAGACTATTGATGAGAAAAGAGAGACCCAGGGGTGAGCAGAAACCCAGGAGCTAAAGCTAAGGTAGTCTTAAGAACAAAAAATAAATTTTGAGGATGCTGTAGCCAACTGTGCTAAAAACTGATGAAGAAATCAGAAAAGATCACTGGGCTTGGCCTTAAGAAATTAATGATTCCTCAGATATAATCTCAGATATAGGAATGAAGGCCAAAGGTTTCTTAGAAGGAGTTGAAGAAATGAAGGTAAGCTGTACAAGGGAACAGAGAAGTAAGTCTATGGCAGGAGATGTGGGTAAGTGCTGTGGTCTCAATGCAGACCCAGGTTAGGGGTCAGATTTGCTTAGAAAACTAGTTAGAGGCAACAGACTAGCTTTGGAAGGAATTACATATCTTGGGCCTGATATAAAATAATGTGACCAGCCACAGGTGATAGACTCCAGACCCAGTTGATGCTGCTAGGACTGCCAATAATAATTTATGCCAGCTCAAAACTGTGCTGCAGGCTTTCTCTTGTAAATGTAACTGGGGTTGTGCTAATTAAAAGCATTTGGGAAAATGTCAATGTCTGAAGACAAATGCTTCCCAGCTCATCAATCCATGAGGTCATCTCTTCCCTTGGCCAGTTTTTATCTGAGGTAATTTATCTGTTACTTAAATTTCCCCAAACTTATCTTAAACCTGGCTGGTTTTCTGCTTTGCTCATGTTTTCAAAGCTCATCTTTATGAAATTAGAATAACCTGGCACTTCTCAAAGGTTACCAGCAGGCTCCAGGATTCTTTCTCTGGGAGACATTAAGAATTGAAGGCATTCGGTTCTCCCTAGGTATGATAAAAGCCAGAGCAACTGCATTACAACTGCTTTTCTTAGCCAACTCTTTGCCTAGCTGGGTACATCATAGCCATGTCCAAGTATTTCGCCATGCAAAACTGTGGGGTGTTTGCCAGTGAGGAAGTGCTGCTGGGTATGCCCTTCAAAAGATTTTTGTGTTTTTGGAGACATGACTATCACTACCACCATGTGCCAGGAATTCTGCTGAGTGGACTTCCCACACGATGTTACTCAGATTTGTCTGCTAAGTACATTATTTTAGCATTTTGCTTTGCAGATAAGAAAACAGAATCATGGCGCTAAAATAACTTGCCCCCAAATACACAGGAAATGTTAGAGCCCCAATTTGGAGGTAGCATTGTTTGATAGTAGTTTTGGCAGTGAAAGTCTGTACTGGACAGCAAGTCATTAGCTACATGCAACTATTGAATAGGATAAATGTTGCTGTGTGACCGAGGAACTGTGTTTTGAATTTTAATTATTATGAATGCATCCCTAGAGTGTTGAATGTAATCTATAGTCCTTAGCATACCTGGTAAGCAAAGAAAATTATGACAAAAAAGCAAACCTGAAGCTGAGAAATGATTTAATGACTATGGCAGTGGTTCTCACCCTTCCTAACACTGTGACCCTTAAAAAAGTTCCTTATGTGGTGACCCCAGCCATAAAATTATTTTTGTTGCTACTTCATCGTTGTAATGTTGCTACTGTTATGAATCATAATGCAAATATCAGTGTTTTCCAATGGTCTTAGGTGAGCCCTATGAAACGGACATTTGACCTCATAGGGATCATGACCCATAGACTGAGAACCAATTAGCTATGGTGATTAGTGTAGCAGTTGGTCTTCATCGTCAACCAGAATATTAAAGACTATAAGAAGTTGTGCATTGCCTAAGCAGACTTGACCTTCGTAGTAAGTAGTATTGCATAGATCCTTCTTGCTTACTAATGCTCAGGGCTAGCATAATCAGAATTCCTAATTCCTCTTCCAGTTCTTAACAATTCCTAGGCCTCCACTTATATTAGGGTTCTTAAGAGTGTCAAATATCCACCATTGCTGAGCAGAACAAAGACTTCTATTTGCAGGTCAGGATCATAAGCTGTCTTTCTATGACAGCTTTTTGGTACATGCCTGTCATGTACCAAAGAGGAAAGCATACTTGATTTCTACCTCTCTTTTGTTTGAAGACATTTGTCCTTTAGTTTGTGACTAAGATGTTAATGATTTCATGGTATCCTCACTAAAGCAATGAGAATTCTGTGCTTTTGTTGTTTGTTTTTAGATAGGCTCTCTATGTAGCCCAGGTTTACCTGGCATAAGCAATCCTTCTGTGGCCGATTCCCAAGTGTTAGGATTTCAGGCATGTACCTAGCAATAAAGCACTATTTATATTGATACATCTTCTTGGTTTGTCTTTAGGGTGTATTTAGGAGAAAGTATTTCCCTAAGGTCTTTACAATGCTCTTTTTTATTCAGGGTCTTCAAATGGAACTCATTCCCCAGAAGCAGTGCTGTGGCATCTGGGTGGTATTTTCTCTGGGCTCTCCAAGTGCTGTGTAACAGAGCCTACATACCAGATATTTTGCTTGCTTGCTTTTACCACCAAGGGCCAGAATTTTAAACAATGTGGTTCTTGACCTACTTCCTGATCATTTCTGTGATTTAAAGGGGGCTGTGCAGCCTCCTTGTTTTAATCACCTTACTGTGACTCACTTTGTTTCCTTCTGTTTGCACATTCCCACTCAGAATCCACATATTCACATTCTGTTTGCTAACTTGCACCCAGATTCTTCCTGTCTGATTTATCACATATGGGGCCAATTTTCTCCACTAGTTTTGTTTGGGGCAAAATATAGTTTCTGTGGCTGGCATTCCTCCTTTCTGCCCAGTCTTTACTATTTGACCATGGAAAATATCCTTTCAACCACGGAATAGATGTATGTTTTCAAAAGTTGGCCAGCCTGACTCCTAAAATTAACACCCAAAGTTCTCTGCATATAGAAGTCTCTCTATACTCACTCTGACACAGGCGTTTGTCAAGAAATAAAGGGTAAATCTTGTGGTATCATTACTAATAGGGTCATAGTCATGTATCTAATATATGATATTTCTTGTCCTCTCCCAATACCTTGGAATTGTGGCCACAAAATTTACTTTGTAGGCTAAAAATTAAGTAGTCTTGATTTTTTTTACTTAAGCCTAGTGAAGTATTTTCAACAGTGAGTAACTCTCAACATCCTTTCCTTTTACTTAGTGGCTGAATGCTCCATATAGGCATTTAAATTTGATGTCTATGTGAATAATAGAGGACTAAGTATAGCCATTAAATGCTAAAATACGAGCCTGTGCACATGGACTTATCACTATCTTAACATATGATCACTTTTTGAAGAAGTATGGGAAAAACCCGAGGAAGCACTTCTTCCTACCATCCGAATTTTACATTTTTTGTTCTCCTTCTTCTGTTCTCATTCCATGCAGTTGCAGTGTGAATTCTAGTTTTTTTTAACTTAAAAACCCAGAGCAGATACAGGGGTTAATCATTAAAGATCAGAGAATCAAAATAGTCAGCCACTAGTTCTTACCTCTACTGAATCCTCAGACCAAAGAGGTGATCCTGTTCCTAGGAAATCCTCAGAGTGAATGTAATGACCTCCTGTGTCCTCAAGCCTTGTATTTCTCTCTCTGCCAAGCCATATTACTCCTGTCTCCACCTTCCTGTGCTGGGATTAAAATTGTGTGACTCACAAGTATTAGGATTAAAGGTATGTGCCACGACTTGGCTCTGTTTCTCTTCTAAACTGAATTAATCTTGTGTAGTCCAGAGTGGCCTTGAGTTCACAGAAATCTTCCTGCCTCTGCTGGGATTAAAGTGTGTGGGATTAAAGTGCTGGGATTAAAGGTGTGTTCCACCATTGCCTAATCTATATGGCTAACTAGTGTGGCCAACTCTGCACTCTGATCTTCAGGCAAGTTTTATTTGTTAAAGCGCAAACAAAATACCACCACAAAGCAGGGATGGTACACGTCTTATTTATGTATGAGCACTTATCCATTAGCCATTCTACATATTACTTGATTGCTTTTCTGCTGATTACAACATGATAACTTTGAGTCATGTCTAGTGCAGATAACCAATCTATTCTATGTATCCCAACAGCATCACCCCCAAATCCTAAATGATAGAATCATTTCTTCACTGGGAACAGTAACTTTTAAAAGTTAATTTTGATGATTTCATACATTTATACAATAAATTTTGATTACTGTCTATTCTCACCCTCCCCATCTCTCTTCTATTCCTACCAATGCCACCTCTTTACTATGGAAAACTTTCTCATATTTATAACTTTTGGTTTGGTTTTGTGACCCGTTTTTGTTTAACCAGGGTCATCTTGGCGACCATTGGATTGGGACTATTATTGGAGCTTGGTAGGGTAACCAGTAGATATTTAGCTGAAGACAACAACTCCCCTTTTACTTGAATGTATCAGTACCAAATAATTCAGCAGTAAGATGTAGGGTCATTTTGCCTCTTTCTCCATACATGCATCACTGTTTACATATTCATTTTTGACCTAGTGTAGGTTTCTTCAGCTGTTGTGAGTTCATGCTTACAGTTGTTATCTCTTGCCCAAACTATGACATTTCAAAGCCCTTTTCTCTATCATCCAATTTTTATATTCTTTCTTTTCCTTCTCCTGAAATATTGTTTGTGCCATACAGGGATTGCACACATGTCTTATTTAGGGCTGAGAACTTTCTGATTACTTATTTTCAGCATCTTGTGAAACCATGGTTCTGCACTCACTTCCCTTCACTGGAAACAGAGGCTTCTCTGATTAAGGCACTCAGTTGAATTGATCTATGAATATAAACATCAATATTTAGAAAGGAGTTTTAGGCTGTATCAATTTGGCTAAATAATAGCCTTCAGTTCAGTCCTCTCCTAGGACCTATGACCTCCCTTGTAGGTTTACAGAACCAGAGGTTGGTTATCTCCATTAGAGTAGTGCTGTTTTTGCATAAATGGGTACATCTTGTATAGTATGTTAGTCTTGCAGTTTGTAGGATTCACATCTGGGTAACATCATTGGTCGGTGTCCTTTTTCCCTCTCTTAAATAACAGACTTTTCCTGGAGAGACAACATACTCTTCTAATCACCTCAGAGAAGGAGCCCATGAGAGAACAAAGCAATGATTGCACCAGTGTCCAATGTGGTGAGTCAATGAGATTTGAAAATTGGGATTACTAACAGAAAAATGGGTGAAAAACTGCTTACAAGGAGAAGAGATAATTCAAGGCAGCTTCATTACAGACAGCCCACTCCAACCGTAGTAACCACTCAGGAAAACTACAAGCTTGGATTCTCTATGCAGCTTGCAGAAAGCTCCAGAGTCACAACATCTTTCTTTCTGATACTGGCTATCTCCACCCCCAACAACTGACTACTCCCTTTAATATAGTTGGTAGGGACCTGCAAGAATCTTTCAAACTTCTATTATTAGCAGACATGCAACCTTTTGTTTATATTCTGTTTGCAACTGGAGGTTTGAGAATCTGAATATTCTTCCTAGGGCAAATGTTTCACTTTGGAGATAATATTGCAATTCAGAGGAACAAGCCCAACAACATCCTCACATCAGCATGCATATCACCCTTTTGTGACTATGAAAGCAGGACCACACGAAAAGATTCCAATTCACATAAAGGTGACACAATATAATTTATGGTATACTAAATAGCCCAATGTTTTAAGATGCAACAGTAGAATTTAGTTGTCTCTATGATAACTCAGACTTGTGATTTATTTGGTAATCTTGTAGTTATTTGTACTTCAGAATGTGAGAACTTTTTGTGTTAATTCTCAAAGAAGAAATAAATGTTTAATAACTGAGTATCCCGTGGGTGTTGGTGGTGCATGTCTTTAAACCCAGCACTCGGGAGGCAGAGGCAGAGGCAGGCAGATCTCTGTGAGTTCGAGACCAGCCTGGTTTACAGAGTGAGTTCCAGGGCAGGCTCCAAAATGATGCAGAGAAACCTTGCCTCAAACCACCCCCCAAAAAACCTGATTATCCAGTGAACATGGAGAAGTTGAGATGGTGCCTGTACAGGGACTTTGCCCTACATTCTAGTATCTTTGATACAGGAAGGTACTCTGCATACTACCAAAGGAAAAACATAAATGACAACACAGCCACAAAACATTTGATCTACAGTCATGTCCTGCCTGTAAGATAGGGTAGGTCAATGGTGGCACAAAATTTGTGCAAGTAATCAACCTATATCTGATTTAACTTAAGGACTACTCCACAAAGTAGCACCCATACCCAATACTGCTTGGGTAGCAAAGAACCTGAGACTAGATAGCCCAGGAACCTAGGGGAAAACCAAATAATACTGGTCTGAGAAATATACGCAATAAAATGACTTCTAGTGGCATTCTGCTATACTCATATATAAGTGCCTTGCTCAGCCATCATCAGAGAAGCTGCCTCCTGCAACAGATGGGAAAAATACAGAGACCCACAGAAATCATTTTATTTTGTTATCATCCCTTAGAAGTTTGTTTATTTTATAATGTGAGACAGAAAAAAAAAGTAGATCCGGATTTTGGAAGGAATTGGGAGGAGAAACCATTATGGGGGGGTATATTACATAAGAAAAAGTCCATTTTCAAAAAAGGAAAAATTATTAAAAATTAGGGAAAATGTATATATATGTACTCAACAAAAAGAATGAACCAGAATAGGGATATGTGATCATTAACATTATTACAAAGCAGCATGTCCAGCAGTACAGGAGTGTTCCTCTTAATAAGAAGAAGATATGTAACTGTTGGAAGCATCATCCAAACCCTGTCATCAGATGACGGTTCCTAAGCTTGTTATCAAAGCCATTCTTTCATTAGAGATGGATTAGATAACCACAATAATTTGAAAACATTATATATTTCATTCATATAATGCCTTCATCAAATTTGGGGTCTACTCTTGCTTTGTATCTTTCTGATTCTGGTTTTGCCTCCTGGGAATCAGCCTCTAGCACCCCAGGGAATTTATTTTGAGATCAGTAAAAATATAGATGTGTAGGTCTTACTACAAGGATTCTGGCTAAATTGATCTGGGAAAAAGCCTGAGCTTTAGGTTGTCAAAGCAGCTCTTACAACCACAGTTACAAATCACTGGCTTATTAGAAAAGAATATACAGTTCAATAGACTGATGGTGTGCAGTGTCCTGTGGCAGGCAAGGTAACAAGTATGAATCCCATAAACTCAGAAGTACTGTAAATATAAAATTCTCTTTATTTTGCCACAGCTATAATACCATCTTTTTACTTTTTAATTTTTATTATTTTAATTACACATATTTACATATCCATCCCCCCATTCCCTTACCCTCCCCTCCTCCCATGTTTCCCACCCAACCCACCCCAACCCTCCCCCAAGTCCTCTCCAGGGATAGCGAGGCCCTCTACCAAGGACCTTCAAAGTCTGTCCTATCGTTTGGGGGAGGGCCTAGACCCTCCGATTCTATCAGTAGGTCAGGTCCACTGTTTCTGCAGGACTCTCCATCCCTGTCTTGGCTCCTTTGCTCAACCCTCTTCCCTCTCCTCAACTGAATTCCAGTGGTATGGTTCAGTAAATAGCTATGGGTACCTGTTTCTGCTTTGAACAGAAACTGGATGAAGACTCTCCTTCCTCTCGCTGCCCCCAGGCTCCAATTTGGTCAGGGGTTCTTGTCTCCATCCCCTTCTTCAAGGGACTATACAATCTTCTCTTGGGTTCCTCCTTGTTTCCTGGCTCCTCTGGCAGTGTGGAATGTAGGCTAGTGATCCTTTGCTCTATGTCTAAAAATCAAAAATGAGTGAGTACATACCATGTGTATATTTTTGTGATTGGGTTACCTCACTGAGGATGGTTTCTTCTAGTTTAATCCATTTGCCTGCGAATTTCAAGATTCCATTGTTTTTTTCCCACTGAGTAGTACTCCATTGTGTAAATATACTACATTTTCTCTATCCATTCTTCAGTTGAGGGGCATCTAGGTTGTTTCCAGGTTCTGGCTATTACAAATAATGCATATTTGAACATATGTCCTTATTGTATGAGTGTGCATTATTTGGGTATATGCCCAAGAAAGGGATTGCTGAATCTTGAGGTAGACTGATTCCTGTTTTCCAGAGAAACCGCCATACTGCTTTCCAAAATGGCTGTACAAGTTTGCACTCCCACCAGAAATGGAGGAGAGTTCCTCTTTCTCTACTTCCTCTCCAGCATAGATTGTCATTAGTGTTTTTGATTTTAGACATTCTGACAGGTGTAAGATGGTATCTCAGAGTGATTTTGAGTTGCATCTCCCTGATGGCTAAGCATGTTGAGCACTTTCTCAAGTGTCTTTAAGCCATTTTGGATTCCTCTGTTGAGAATTCTCTATTTAGTTCTGCACTCCAGGTTTTAATTTCATTGTTTGGTGTTTTGGTGGCTAGTTTCTTGAGTTCATTATATATTTTGGAAATCAGGCCTTTGTCAGATGTGGGGTTGGTGAAGATCTTTTCCCATTCTGTGGGCTGGCATTTTGTCTTGCTAACTGTATCCTTTGCTTTACAGAAGCTTCTCAGTTTCAGGAGGTCCTATTTATTGATTGTCGATCTCAAAGTCTGTGCTACTGGTGTAATATTCAGGAAACAGTCTCCTGTACCAATTTGTTCAAGGCTACCACCTACCTTCTCTTCTAGGAGGCTCAGTGTGGCTGAATTCATGTTGAGGTCTTTGATCAATTTGGATTTAAGTTTAATGCATGGTGATAGATATGGATCAATTTGCAATATTCTACATGTCAGAATCCAGTTATGCCAGCACCATTTGTTGAAGATGCTTTCTTTCTTCCATTGTGTAAATTTAGATTCTTTGTAAAAAATCAGGTGTTCATAGGTGTGTGACTTAATATCAAGGTTTTCAATTTGATTCCATGGTCAACCTGTCTATTTTTGTGACAATACCAAACTGTTTTTAGGAGTATGGCTCTATAATAGAACTTAAAGTCAGGGATGGTGATGCCTCCAGAAGTTTCTCTATTGTACATGCTGGATATCCTGTGTTTTTTCCCTTTCCATATGCAGTTGAGTAATGTTCTTTCAAGGTCTGTGAAGAATTGTGTTGGGATTTCTATGGGAACTGCATTGAATCTGTAGATTGCTTTTGGCAAGATTGCCATTTTTACTATGTTGATCCTACCTATCCAAGAGCATGGGAGAACTTTCCATTTTCTAGTATATTCTTTAATTTCTTTCTTTAAAGACTCAAAGTTCTTAATATACAGGCCTTTCTCATTTCTGGTTAGTGTTACTCCAAGATATTCTATGTTATTAGTTGCTATTGTAAAGGGTGATGTTTCTCTGATTTCTTTCTCAGCACATTCATCTTCTGTATATAGTAGCGCTACTGATTTTTTTGAGTTAATCTTGTATTCTGCAC